TATTCTGTGGAATTTATTTAACAATTAGCAATTATTCCTTTATTTATTCACAGATTTTCTTTTTACAGTCTCTTTACTAGCGATACGTATATCATGAATATACATGAATACACACTAAAAGCGGTTAAATGAATTTTCAAAATAGTGCTTGTAATTGTTAGCAGTTTATCGTAAACAATGTATCAATAGGGCTCTATATATAGTAATTAAAATTCGTTATGAAGTTTTTATCACAACATGTTTTTGTCAAAACATCATAATTATGAAATCGGTGCTTGTTATGGTTGCCAGAAATGTCTTTTTTGTTTTAAAGATTTAAAGAATAAATCTTGTTCATGTGATTTACAAATAAAACCATCTCGTCATGACACTTCTCGATCTAAACGAGGACAACAAATTCATAACTGATGTTATAAAATTTTTAAAACTCGTTTAGCCCAAGTTATTTGGTTAAAAGAACGAAGCAAATTGTTTGGATATAATAGTAATTTCGATAAAAATTTTGACTTAACACTTTGTTCAACATGTAATTCAAGATATGACTGGATTAAAAATAAAAAAAATAGTTTAAGTAACAATGAAGAAACAAGCCAAGACAATACAATTGACAAAGATACAACTGACCAAGATACAATCGACCAAGATTTAATCGATACAATCGACCATGATATGATCGACCAAGATACAATCGACCAAGATATATTTGACCAAGATATAATTGACCAAGATATAACTGATCAAGATATAATCGATCAAGATAATGGAATAGAAATAACTCAACCAAAAACAACAAAAGTAACAACAGCCTATTTGATCGAATTAAAAGTAAAAGTTTTCATTGATACTAAAAAAACTAGTTCTCCAGCAGGAAATTGGTTGATTTTTAAAGAAGAAATTAATAATTTTTACCTGTTTCAATCGAATTTAAATAATCACATACGAAGGTGTTTGGATCTTCAATTTATTTACGACGATGATTATGAAATAACTTACAAGATTAATGGTCGAGGACAAGCTATGTGCATAAATAATCATGAGGATTTTTTAAATTTTGTCGATGAATGTAAAGAACCTGATAATTTGGCAAAAACAATGTATATTTATATTACCTTAAAAAATCCGAAACAGTTTCACAAAAGAAAATCAGAAGTATAATTTTTTATTTATTATTAAGGTTGGATTGGTTCATCCAGTCTAGTGATGTGCCATTTATATGATAACCAATTTTTTTTGCGTACAGTGTATACAGTACGTACAGTACGTATAGTTGTATAGTGTATATAACATACGTAATACACATAATACATGTAGCATTTATAAATCAGTTATATGCAACATTGTGCAAGGAACAATTGTTGTTAGAATGCGAAAAACAGTTTCATATAATCAAAAATTTAGATAGGTATACTTTCATGATTTGTTTTAGAATATTCTAAAAAATTTTTTGCATACTATACTGTACACGGCACATCACTAATCCAGTCTATCTCAATCTCTAATAAGACCAGTCTATGGCACAGTTCAGTCCGGTCCCTGGTCTCAAAAATAAGCTATTTTCATGTAAGTAATTATCAATTTTAGCTATTATCGTTGAAATAAAATTCATGCAACAATGTTTTTTTACTATTTAAAAGTTTACTTAAAGCTTTTTTTTAACTATTTAAAAGGTTATTTTAATTGTTTGTTGTTAACCGGTCTGAACTGGTTAAAAGACTGAAGATCGAAACCATGTAATCGGTCAAAAAGACTGGTCATTAACTGGTCTTATTAGAACAGATCCAACCTTATTTATTATTTATTTTGTATTTTTAATTTTATAGTATTAACATTAATCAATATATTATATTTAGAATACCAATAATGATGAAAATATAAAAAAAAAAAAAAAATTAAAAATCAATTATATACCTAAGGAATCAGATTTGAATGAGGACGAATATAATCAAGCTCAAATTATTACAGAACTTCGAGATAAATATAAATGTTTACAACATATTACACCATGCTATGTTGAAGATGAATGCCATCTCCCGTTAAATCCTGCTCGATTAACATTATGGGCTCGTGATATAGTACATAATATAAAATTTATATAAATTATATATAGTAAAACCTTCATAAGTGCACCCTCTATAAGTGCACACCTTCTATAAGTGCACACCCTCTCTAAATGCACGTTCAAATTCAGGTCCAACTATATAAATGACTCTATAAATGCATTTTTTTGTATTTTTCTCTAACCGCGCATTATTAAAGTTTGGTCCCAAGCATGTGCGCTTATAGAGGTTTTGCTGTATTTTTATATAATGATACTATTATTGTTATTAAATATTTATTTTTTATTTTTAGATTAATAACTTGTCTACAATTGATACACCCCCTTCCTATCCAATATTCGGAATGGTTCATGCTACAAAATCCAAAATTCATGATCAAATTAGATCTCACGATCAAATTGAACTTCATAATCAGATTACACCTCACTATCAAACTATGCCTCATCAAACTGTACAACCAAATATGTTACCATTACCAACTATGCCCTCGGGTTTTAATCCTTACATATATCCTTATAATTCATTTTATTATCAAATACCTCAACCTCAAATATCTCAACCTCAAATATCTCAACCCCAAATACTTCAACTCCAAACTACTACTAGATATAATATTTCCTTAAATAAATTTTTTTTTGAACTAGACCAAATTTATGATGGTAAAGGAGCATATATTGCTTTAGAAAAATCGTTTGAAGAACAAGGGATTACAGTAAATGGTATAAAAGAGTTAACGGATGATCAACTAATTAAATTAGGCGTAACTAAAGTTGGATGGCGCATAAATATAAAACAAGAAGCTAGAAAATATTAATAGAAATTTTAAGGTAATATTATATAATTATATTAATATGTAATACTGATATTTCATTAGAATTTATTGGATTTAATGTATGAGTAGAATCGTTTTTTTTTTATATCATATATTCTTTAAATGTTGATAATTTCGCTATTATAAATGTTTTAGTATAATTTGTAATCATTTAACTATTTTATCTACTTCTAAGAATTGTTTTTGAATTAAAATTTACAGTTGTTTAGCTAATTCAATAAAGTAATTCAAAATCTCAGAAGCAAATTTAAACCATAATTCAAAGCAAATCTTTATAGCAAGCTATTGTCACAATTTTTTCTTTGAAAAAACCGTGGCTGGAAGTAACGAAACTGTGTATTGTAATTAAGCCTTGAAACCACAAGAATATTGTGATACTAGAGTAGTTGCATAGGTTTAGAGGTACTAAACGGTCCCACTATTTATCCAATTCGTCATCTTTGTTTATTTTTATATCTATAGATTCTTTTATTTGTTTGTTATCATAAGGTGCAGGTATTGGACATGAACCAAATCTTCGATATGGGTTTAAGAAAAAGCTAAGGTGGTGTGACTAGACCTGGACAAAAGCTTAGACAGTTAATTAAAGAAAGTACCAGGATAGTTATATTAGTTTTTGAGCCTAGAGAAAGGTACAGACATTGCCCAAAATAATTACCTCTAAACCAAAACATGTAAAAACCTTCTTATTGTAATTGAAAGTATGAAAGAGCTGCCTCTTTGCTTTCCTAATAATCTTTAGATTTCAATTACTTGATTAGACGAAACATAATAAGAATTGGATTTTTACTTGTATTTAGTTATTATAAGTATTGTAGTTGTTATCATTTTTAGGGATGCTAACGGCTTGATCTGGCTTGTATATTTATTATTATAAAAACTGATTAATGAATAGAGTCGATTGAGTCGTTAGCATCTCTAATCATTTTATTACACTAACCGTTAAGATTCTTAACGATCGTATTGTATTTATTACATTATTACCTTGTAATTACCCCGATATTATATCAGTTGCATTTATGATTAAATAATTAATTGGTTACCAATATATATAGGGGTGTTCTCAAGCAGCTCCCTCAATACGATTGGCTAGTGATTGAGATGCTGCTCAAATCATCATGGTAAATTGAGTAATTAATACGGCTAATTGAAGAACGACTTGTTAAAAATTCAATGTGTGAAATGCGGATTTAAATTTTAGCAAATCAGAGCAGCTCTATGAAAAAGAATTGGTGGTTGCAGCTCCAGGGTTTTTTGACCTAAGTGATAATCACGATCAATTTTTCAACCAATCAAATTGTTCAGTAAACTCATTGAGAGAGGCGTTTGAGAACGGTGTTACGAAAAATTTCGTAACAAATTAACATTTAAGCTTTTGTGTAACAATTTAACCTTTAAACTTTTGCATAACATTTAAATTGTATACTTAAATTACACTTTGCATTTTGTATCATAGTTAATTTGAGCCAAATAGCTAATTTGAGTCTAATAGCTAATTTGAGCTTAATAGAAAATATAATTAGAGTTAGAATTAGTGATTAGTAATAACAATATAAATAGGTCTCTGTAATAAGTTAGTGAAGAGATCTCTTTTTTTTTTGTTAGTAAATACTTGGAAGGGTTCAAAGTGTACTGGGTGCACTCTTGAATATACTGGGTTTTGTGGCTCATATATTAGTAGTAGTACATTGAATAAATATTTATTTCTTTTATTTTTATGATCATGGCTAAACTAAATCGGTTATATATTTTGGAGTTGCTCTCCCAAACTGTGATAACGGCCATAATTAAGTGCCTTGATCTTGATCGGATTAATTACTATACCCGATTATATTATTTAGTTATTTATTTATTACCACGGTTTTGATACATATACTAAATTACGCTAATCGTATAGAAGCTCTCCCAACAACTATCAAAGATTTTCATAATCGCAATCCAAAGCAAACCTTTATAGCAAGCTCCCATTAAATTGACAACTATCAAAAGATTTTTATGACTATAATCCAAAGCAAATCTTAATAATATAGATGTTGTAAGTGGGAATGGGATTTAAGTGGATTTGGAATTTCCTAGTTAAATTGGGGTTAGGATTAGGGTGTTTATATGACAAAACCAACCCTAAAATGCGGATTTTATATAAAAATTCCGAATCTACTTAAATTCCGTTTTCACTTACAACATATATATATATATTTATTTATTATTTATCTCTTTAAAATTAGATAATTACATATATATAGACCCTTTAAAAAATCCTTCTGCCATCTTGGCCGTAATCTGAGAACATGCTATCATTATTGCATGAATAGGATCATTACACAAACTCATAAAATCCCTATTACGTCTAATCCAACTTTTTATAGTACTAAACGCGGTCTCTATCGGATTAAAATCTGGAGAATAAGCTGGAAGAAATTCAATACGACATCCTAAACCTCTTATTATTTCAACTAGCTCATTGTCATGGTGAATTTTCGCGTTATCTAAAATGATAACACTATTTTTACCAGGATAC